AGAGAGTGTGTGTGTGTGTGTGTGTGTGTGTGTGTGTGAGAGAGAGAGCGTGTGTGTGAGTATGTATGTGTGTGTGAGAGAGAGAGTGTGTGTGTGTGTGTGAGTGAGTATGTGTGTGTATGTGTGTGTGTGTGAGAGAGAGTGTGTGTGTGTGTTTATGTATTTCTGTAGCTCTTTCACAATACAATGCCGTTTCAAAGCATGCATATGTAGAGGTGCATCTAAAAAAAATAGAATATCGTTACATTCGTATCATTTTTTTTTTGTAACTTATTTCAAAGAGTGAAACTTTCATATATTCTAGATTCGTTACATACTAGACGGCTGCATTGACTTGATAAAACACAATGGAGCAACACCAGCAGACGTCACGGCTCCCAAATCATCTCTGACTTCAGAAACTTCACACTGGACTTCAAGCAGCTCGGATTCTGTGCCTCTCCAGTCTTCCTCCAGACTCCAGACCTTGATTTCCAAATGAAATGCAACATTTGCTTTCATCTGAAAAGAGGACTTTGGAGCACTGAGCAACAGTCCAGTTGTTTTTCAAGTCAAAAATCCAGTATCTCAAAATATTAGAATATTTCCTAAGATCAATCACAAAAAAAGGATTTGCAAAACAGAGAAGTTCAAGCTCTTTAAAGTATGTTGAGTTCTGCACTCAATACTTGGTGGGGGCTCGTTCAGCACAGACTCCAGCATCAGTGAGGTGTGAATGAAGCGATCAGCCTGTGGCTCTGCTGAGACACTACTGAGCTTCAGTTCAGATCCACTGTTTCTCCTCTTTCTCTTGAGTCAACTTTGCATTTAATATGCTTTGATACAGCACTCTGTGAAATAATGAGCTTCTGTGACTTACCCTCTTTGTGGAGGGTGTCGATGATCGTCTTCTGGAGCATTGCCAAGTCAGCAGTCTTCCCCATTATTGTGTTTGCAAAGAACAAGAGATACCCGGAATTTATACTTTAGGGATGTTCTTTTAATGAAGCTCAAATGTAAATATTCTAATATTTTGAGATACTGGATTTTTGACTTCCATGAGCTCTAATCATCAAAATTAAAACAAAAAAAACTTTTGCAATGTTTTATTTTACATGTAATGAATTTAGAATATATGAAAGTTTCACTTTTTTAAATAAGTTACAAAAAAAAAAAAAAAAGAACCTTTTCACGATATTCAAATTTTTTGAGATCCTCTTGTATATATGCATACATATACAGTATATACATATAAACACTGTTAATTTAATTTAAGAAATGCTTTTGTGTTTCTTGGCAATGTCTTCGAATTTTCAGGAGATTTTGAGATAGATAGATAGATAGATATTAATAATTTAACAGTGTTAATTTAACCGTGCTGTATATATTGTATTGTGTATATATACATATATACACACACACACACACAGATACAAGCAAATATTGTTACTGTCTGTTTGAGCTGTAATAAAGAGGTCACGTCTGAAACCCAACAGAAGAGTTGATGTGTTTCAGAGCTGCTTTTATAAGTGCTTGATTTCACAGCTATAGCATCATCTTTTAAAAATATCTGCGAGACGAGGGATCAGCGGATCAGAACTTCACACGAGTGTTTCTGCAGGAGGAGACCCACGAGACCCGAGAAGAGCTCGGCTTTAAACAGCAAAGAAACGTCTGAAGACAGACAGACAGACATCGCCTCAATTTACACAATATAAAACAATACAATGAAAACAATACAATGAAAAAAAAATAGTTAATATACAGCACATGGAGAGGCATAAACCTGTAAAAAGACTATTGTAGTACATTTTACAAGAAAATACAATCTCAGTCTTTCTACTTCAAAATTTCACATTTAGTTCAATGTGTTACTTACCATTTTGTGAAAAATTTATATATTGAATGAGATATGCTTACTGTACACGTATGTGTCAAAATATGAAACATCATTATGTATGTTATATAATTGCATGCAGATACTGATTTATATGAAAAATGTTGATTTTAAAATATTGAATTTATTGAAATGTATTGATTTACACCAGATACCTATTAAATACATGAACAACAACAAATAAGAAAAACTATTACAAAATCAGCTATAAAATGATCTTTTAAGCATCTTTTATAATAAGTTATAGAAAAACATTTATTTTTTTTATTATTTCCTTTAAATACCCAGTGTTGGGAAGTAACTAGTAACATGTTACATGTAACAATTTCATTACAAAATAAATTTAATCAGTTACAGTTACTGAGAATAAATGTGTAATTAAATTACGGTTACTTATGAAAATGTTAACGATTACAAAGGGGGTTACATCTGAATATTTTCACACACACACCCACATACAGATTTAGCAGATTTCTTTCATAAATTGCACTACTCTAAAATATGAGACACCAATGTTTCAGGAGGTTAGGACACATGATTGTTTGATAACTGTTTTATTTCCTATTTAGGTTTTATGTATATGCTTTATTTTTTTTCCAAGGCATTGTTAGATGCCAGTGTTTTCTGTCATAACTATGCAAAGATTTGATTTCTTTCCAACACTGTACATACACCTCCTACTTCCTACTTTCTCCTGTAGTCACGGAAAAGCAACAAAAACTCAATTTCCCATCAGCGCTCTCGCTCTTGCAGTGACGCAAACGCGTCGGTGCGCGGCGCATGCGCAGTGCGGCGTAAGGGCGACGTGCCGTCGAGTGTTTACGCGCGTAATGGCGGCGGACAGGCTGTGATGAGCCACGGCGAAAAAAACACAGCCAGCGATCCAGCCCTCGGTCAGTTTCCACAGCGGCGACACAGAAGAACGCGAAAATGCAGATCACGCTGAAAACCCTCCAGCAGCAGACGTTTAAAATCGACATCGACGCGGAGGAGACGGTGAGAGGCGAGCGCGTGAGGGCAGCGCGCGCTGCTAGCGGCTAACGGCTAACAGCTTTCTGCCAGCGATGTCAATAAAACACACTAAAACTCCAGTCAAACCACTCAAATACGCTGTAATTACTCTGTAACTTTAAATGAACTTTAAAGACTCGTTGCTGTTTGCGCTTGGCGCTGTTTACGGAGTTCTGTGAACGTTTTAGCATTAGCACGTTAGCTGCTCATAAAATGAGTTTTTACTTCCACCAAAACAGGTTAAAAGTTGTCTACATGAGACGTAAAAGTAGTGCAGGCACTCCAAAATCTGCATAATCGTCATTTAACCATCGTTATGACTTTTTAGTCGTGCCAGACGGACAGTTAAAGAGTAATTAGTGTTTTAGCAAGTCATGCTGTGGCGTTATAAAGGTTTTAACGCGTGTATGTGTGTTATTAGTGTGTGTGAGAGAGGTGTATATGAACACACACAGACACACACACAGTATGTATCTGCTCCATGATTCATGTGATTTCCAGACACGTGGACTGAAATGACCGAGCTGTATAATTGAACACACGAGGGCTAAACATGTACAAAATGTATTACATGTATTTTCATGAATTCAGTGGTTACAGACAGTTAATGTCTTTATCAGGCTTCTCCGGCTGTGTTTTCTAGATGAACACTTTCTGTTAGATGTGCAGTTGGTTTAGTTTGGCCTCATAGGAACACAGTTCATGACATATCTGCAGCTTCACAGTCACTTTGAATGATATTACAGTGTTATTGAATCTACTTCTACTGTTTGCAGTCATGTGGCATTATCTCAGTCCACTGCTTGGCTTTGTGTTTTGGTCCCAGTTAGTCAGTAAACATAACATTCACTGCAAACTGATGATACTCATGTTAGTCTATTAGTGTGGATGTTTTGGGCATTAAAGGGGTTCTTCACCCATAAATGAAAGTGAGTAAATAATGACAGAATTTTCCTAACTTTCAGTTTCTGTTTCTCATTGACTTTCATACATTAGTATTTTTTCCCATGCTATATGCTCATACACTACCAGTCAAGTTATTGAACAGTAAGATTTGTAATGACTTTAAAGAAGTATCTTCTGCTCACCAAGCCTGCATTTATTTGATCCAAAGTACAGCAAAAACAGTAATATTGTGAAATATTTTTACTGTTTAAAACAGCTGTTTAAATCATGAAAATATGCTGATTTGTTGCTCAAGAAACATTTATTATTATTATCAATATTTAAAACAGTTGAGTGCATTTTTTTCGGGATACTTTGATGAATAGAAAGATCCAAAGATCAGCATTTATCTGAAATAAAAAGCTTTTGTAACATTATACACTATGCCATTCAAAAGCTTGGAGTCAGTATCATTTTTTTAATAGAAATTAATACTTTTATTTAGCAGGGATGCTTTAAATTGATCAAAAGGGATGATAAAGACATTTATAATGTTACAAAATATTTCTATATTTTAGATAAATGCTGTTCTTCTGAACTTTGTATTCATCAAAGAAACCTGAAAAAATTCTACTCGGCTGTTTTCAACAATAATAATAATAATAAATGTTTTTTGAGCAGCAAATCAGCATATCATAATGATTTCTGAAGGATCGTGTGAGTGGAGTAATGATGCTAAAATTCAGCTTTGAAATCACAGGAATAAATTATATTTTAAAATATATTAAAATAGAATATTATTTTGAATAGTAAAAATATTTCACAATATTACTGTTTTTACTGTATTTTGGATCAAATAAATGCAGCCT